AAGCCTGTCAAAGTGGATAGCATTGTCTTACCTTTCAAGACAAACATTGCTTCTTCAAGTATTGACGGATCGGTTTGGGTAGGGCAATCTTGTCGGTCAGTGCACTTGTCACTCGGAAATTGGCTTGACTAGATTATACGCTACCTCAGAATATTCAAAGTTCTATCTGACATTTTTGGCGGTTTTGAATTACTCTGACCAAATGCTGTTTCTGCTCTATCAAAATAGCAAGCTTATTCGGAGTCGTTTTCAAGGTATTCAAAGAGAACTTCATTCGAAAAACCTTGACATGTTGTGAAACTCTAATTTTTATACGCCAAATTTCTTAAAACTGGGTATATATTATTATACTGAGCAGATAGAATTCTATAAAACTCAAATATTCTCCGCTTGAACAGGGTCCCACCATCGACTGGTCCACAATAATTATAGTCCTCCGATTAACTGGTCCACGATAATTATGGTCCCCCGATCGACAGGTCCACAGTTATTGTGCACTAATGAAAAGCCACCTCCTCGATCGAAGTGTTCATTCGGACCAAACTCTGCTTGGTAAAAAGCGATGGAAAATTACGTGCCAGATAATTTACACCGGTGTCTGATGTGTTGCAGTTTGGCGCTTCGCTGTCGCATGCAGGAGACCTAAGTTCGATTCCCGAGTTGGGAGAACATATCAAATTACTTGATCTTTCTGCTGGGATCTTATATCCCTCTCCGCCCGGGTTGGCCGTGGCAGGCTGGGTCGGAAACCCGCCTCCTAGATAATCTAACTCCTCCCGATGGGGGCGTAAAAAACCATTTTAAAAAAAGAAGTTGCACAGGCATAATTATTATTATTATTATTTAGAGGTTTTTAAAAAGTGCTTTATTTCACGCACAGTTCTCAGACTTCACGACCGGACCATGGTCGCTTGACCACGCACGTTGAGGTTTCGTCTTTTGTCCTACAAGTCTAGTTTCATCTTTCCTCTGTTTTACTGTCTTTTGTTTCAGTTTCCCTTTGTTTTTACTATGCGTAGTTTAACCTTGTCTTGTTTCTTCTTTCTTCTGTGTTATTATATTTATTTTCATCTTTCCTCTGTATCTTATTGCTCCTTTCCTCTGTTTTTAATATGTATAGTTTCATCTTTCCTGTTTTTACTTTGCTGTGTGTCATTTTCTTCTCTGTTTTTACTATGTCTTGTTTCGGTTTCCATCTATTACAATGTCTTGTTTGTCTCTGCTGTTGTTTCACCTTCCTCTATATTTATACTACAATGTTTTGCACATCTAATCTGTTCTCTGCTTTTACTTGTGTCTAGAGTCATTTTCCGTCCCTTCATACTACGTCTTGTGTAATCCTTCCTCTGTTTTAATAAATGTATTGTATAATATTTTCCTCGACATTTAGTATGTTTTGTTTCATCTTTCCTCTTATATTTTTATATTTTATTTTTATATCTTGTTGCATTTTTTCTCTGTGCTTACTTCGTCCTCTGCGGGTAGTTGGCGGGGGCTCAGACTCTGGTGTGGTTTGCTCCTTTTTTCCTATCAAACATCTATCGTCTTTATCTCCCCTCCTTTTATGTGTTTGTTACTCTCTTGTAACACCTCTAATCTTCGGCATTTAAATGACCTTATTGTGTTGCAAGTGCCGTAATATAACTCTTACTAAAAACTAAAACGACATTTACTGTGTTTTGTTTCATCTTTCCTCTAGTGTTTTTATATTTTATTTTTATATCTTTTGCATCTTTTCTCTGTGCTTACTTCGTCCTCTGACCTCCGTTCATGACTCTTTCATGCGAATCTGTTTGCGTAAAGACCAGTCCACTGTCTACTGTCTACTGTCTAGCCATAATGAAAACATTTCCTCCTTCCCAAAATCCCTCGCTGAGGGTCAGCCTTCGAAATGACCCAAGCGTACCCAGTACGGCATGGCATGGCGCTTATACAATAACAAAACAAATAGAAAGTTCATCGATCAGGGTACTCTTTCTCTTGGTTTTGTTTTCCTTTTTCTTATCTTGTGCTGACT